GGGGGGGGATCGCCACGGCAGGAGAGGAGAAGAAGAAGAAGAAGAAGAAGAAGAAGAAGAAGAAGAAGAAGAAGAAGATTAAAAAAAAGAAGAAGAAGAGGAGGAAGAAGAAGAAGATGATGAAAAGAAGAAGACGAAGATGAAAAGGAGGAGAAGAAGAAGAAGAATCGAAGAGGAAGAAAAGAATAAGAAAATAAAAAAAAAGAAAATTGTCATCGATTACTTATCTGCACAGGGTAGCAACAACGATGACGAGGATGGTCACTGCGTGGCGGCGAGGACGACGGGCACAGCGATGGTGACGTGGCATGACGACGACGATCGCGATGATGAGGACGTGGCACGACGACGATGACGGTGATGACGTGGCACGACGGCGACGATCACGACGATGACGTGGCACTGCGACGACGATCACGACGATGATGCTGATGATGGCCAGGTGATGGCGACGAAGCAGGGTGGGTCGGGCGGGTTCGAACCGCTCCGATACCAGTGTGACGGGCGCGAGGCTGAGGGAGACAGGGAGAGCCGAGGGAGAGGGGAGAGAGAGGGAGAGAGTGAGAGCACACACACACACTCACTCACTCGACACGACTCAGGGTCGGACGCAGACACAGTGGCAAGGTCACAAAGTTGAAGTCTTGGATTCCGAATGCCGAAAACAGGAGCAAGTCCCACTGAGTACGAGTACAGCAGCTGAAACTGGTACGAGACCGGTTGGCCGTACTGTACGGGGAACCGGTATAAGTGCCGGTGACACGTACGGTACCAGGGGCATCTCTGCAAAAGCCCCCGAGGGCAGAACTGAAAAATGCGGTATTTGAAAGTGGCGCCCGAATTGTAGCATGGCGCCAGTTGTCCAAAATCCGATGGTACCGAAGGAGGGGTTTGAAAAAAGGGTGCCAGGCCAAAAACGGGATGTAGCGAAAAAACAGCAACAAAACAGACCAGGGCTCGAGCCCTGGCGGAGTCCGTAACAAGCCCCTTCTATTCTGGGGGGCATCAGTCCAGTTGCTTATCACCGGCCAGCATGAGTTCAAGTGCACAAAGCATCTCCAGAAAAGGGGACAGACTTACCCTTGCGGTCCTAGACGCCTGTTGAGGGGGGGACTGCCACAACCGAACCCTCCTTCCAGCCTTTTCACTTCACTTTCAGTTTTATAGCTACTTGCCCTCAATCGAGGTTTTGCCTTTTTGTTTCTGGTACTCGGGTGTGGCCCCTCAGAATATTCCTGCAATTGACTGGCAGAATGCATCTGTGTTTATCATCAGTTTCCTAATTTTCTGAAGAAGACATCCAGACTGCATCTTATGTAATGAATGTGCTGTCCGCTTGACTAGGTAGTCTTTTCAGTTCATCGAGATTATTGTTTTTGTTGTTTGACATATTTGATTCTGGCTTGCATTGGCTGGACTTCCCTTGCTTGCTTTCAGTTTGTTGAAATCATATCACAAATTCACAATCAAATGCTCCATAACACAGGTTGTTCGCGGTTTTGGCGTACACACACCCTTTTGATTGTCAGCTTGCAGAGAGCCTGTTCTTCACTGGAGGTGGGCAAGAGATTGCATTTGGTGCTTCTCCACAGGTAGGCCCATCTGAATTTCGAACCCTTCTGAGATTCGGTTTTGAAATCCGTACGATTACGCTGTGTTGCAGGGCTCTACGAAGGATGTTGATTTCTGGCCGCAACGTTTGTGTGGCAAATGATCGACGTAGCCTTGTTGAACAGTTTGGCGGTGGTGTTGATGCTGTGCACCTAATGCATGAGCTGTTGCTGCAAAACTGGGCACTCTGATGCTTTTTATTCTTGATTGCCTCAAAGCCCCATGGAAGCCTTAGAAATGACCACAGCCACTGGTATTCCATGATCCAGTCTGCATTTCAGAAGTTGTTGTGATGCGAATTCAAGAGCTTGCGTGCGGCAATCATCTCCGGCTCTGGAAGCACAAGCTTCTTCCAACTACGTGCAAGTTAGCTCGATGATTGCCACTACATGCTGCGTGATCAAACTGTCAGGCATGCAAGGAACCTGACTGTACATAACTTGCTGGAGTGTTCAATTTGCATGCACATTCGTCATCACACAGATAGGATAGCTTCACACAAAGCCAAAGTCGAGATGAGATAGGAACCAGATAGAGCAGCTCATAGTATCAAATTCACATTATACAAGAGTATCTCGAGTTCAAAAGTTCAGCGCCAACAAAATGCAATTCTTCTTCCGTCATTCATTAGCATAGGACCTGGCTCAGCCAGCGTCACCCTACAGATCTCAAGTATGGCGCACAGGTAAGTATTCACCATATCCCATTTTGTAACCTGTCTTCTCTGTCTCTTTATCTTCTCTCTCAAGATCCCTGTCGTGGTTTCCTTCTCTCACTATGCATGCACACTCCTTGTCTATGAGAACCTACTCTGAATGCCTCTCACTGATATCCTACTACTAATCCCACTACTTCTACCATTACTAATTCAGGCTGGCGCAGCTATGGTTTCCCTGCAGCCGGCGCCCAGCTCATCTTCCTTCTGGCGCAGCTTCATCTGCCAGCACTTCTCCCTGCACTATAGCGCACAAGTGCCTCAGCACTTCCACGCATCATCGCCAATGGGAAATCTCCCTTGTGGGGAGGCTGCCTCGTCCTTTATAGTGCTGGCCTCCCCTTGCGAGGTCTGAATTCAGTCTGTCTTGGGTCATTTCCCAGTCCCAGGCCTCTGTGGAGTGTGTCCCAGTTCCTTATCCTCAGGGTCCACTGCTGCTGCGGCCTTCAGGCCTCAATTTCGGACTTCAATATGTATCTAGACTCTCCCTTTGACTTGAATCTTGACTGGGACTTCACCTTTTTTACTTCCTTTGAACAGACACGCCTACTGCTCGAACAGACACACATTCTGCACGAACAAACGCACATACTGCACGAACAGACACACATACTGCACATACAGACACATCTCCTGCATGAACAGACATGACTTGCACACCCCCTGGATGAACAGATGTGACTCCCATATCTGAATGTTGCAACTGTTCGTCCAGGGGCACAACTGTGACCTTTGACATTGACTTTTACTTAGCTAGGATGTGACTTTTGACCCAGAGAACATGTCCTTTGATCTGCTTTCACGAGTTGGGCTCTGGGCGAGTGACCCCACTATGCTGCATTCGTCATACGAGGTCTGAATCGGGTAAAGGCCCTTTTACTCTCGCCGGCCTAGTTTCGAGGTCCTCTTCTTGCTCTTTCATAAGCAGATACGATATGAGGCGCAGACTCAATTAATTCTTCTCTTGTGAACCAGCGATCTTCACTTGGGTCCTGATTTGCAAATCTTACTTTGTATTGTCGCTGGGGTCTGCCTCTACGTCCAGTTTGGAGAGTGCTTTCAGCAACAATCTTATTGACGTCATATTTCCCATCCATACTAGGAGGTATCGCTGATCTGCGACTGGGAAATAACTCGTTCGTCACGCAAGGTAAGAGCTTTGAAGCGTGAAAAACTGGATATGTATGCAAATGCAGAGGAATTTTAATCACACAGGAAGGTCCATCCACATCTCCAATCACATCTAGAACTTGCCAAGGTCCTCTGTAGGCTGGTAGTTCAGGAACGTATTCCTTAAATTTAACCCATACTAGATCTCACCTACAGCAAACTGAGAACGCCTTTTGTGCTTATTTGCCTGTTCTATCATCTGATGCTGTGCCTTTACTATATTTTCCTTGACTTTCTCAATATCCTTCTGATACTGTATGGCAAATTCACTTGTTCCTAGTGGAAGCTTATGTACTTGGTCCGGATTCGGGCGATCAATGGGCCAACGTGGTCGCCATCCCAAATGCAGCTCCATCGGAGTCCTGCATGTAGACAGGTGAACAAAGTTGTTATAAGCTGTGTGTCCGATTTTGAATTCAACGCGGGTTCCGCATTGAAAAATTCAACGCGCGTTGAATTCGCGTTAAACTCCCGTTCAAACGCGAGTTGGACGCGAATTAATGGGGTCCGGGATGATTTTTTTCCTGGGCTAAAAATTATCCAAAAAAAAAGGAAAAAAAAAGCGATTGTAGGTTTTTTTGAGGACTACAACCCTGTATTTTTACTTTTATTTTTTTATGCTTAAATATATTTTTAAAAAAAATCAAAAACATAAACACACAATGAAAAAACAAAAACTAGAATAAAATGAGTGTTTTTGTTTTGGGTTTCACACAGATTTTTTAAGGGCTAAAACAAAAACAAAAAAAACAAATAAAAAATATAGGGTTGTAGATCTTTCAAAGATGTACAATAATTTATTTTTTATTTTATTTTTTGGAACTTCGTGTATTTTAAAAAAAATCAAAACCATAAAAAGCAAATAAAAAAAAGGAAAAAAAGACACACACACACACAAAATTGGGCCTGTAGCAGGTTGCATGAGTCTGACGTCAGTTGGTTGAGGGAATCCAGGCCCTGGGCCGCCTGTGTGAATGTATGGAAAGCAGGCCCTGGGCCGCCTGTGTGAATGTATGGAAAGCAGGCCCTGGGCTGGATACGGGTACTGGGCCAAACACAGGCCAAAGGCAGTTGGGGGCATGCAACCACCTCAGGCCCAAGGCCTGTTCTCGTTCGTGTTGGGCCTCAGGCTACCGGGGCCTACTGGAAGCTTCCTCGGACTGAACACAGGCACGCCACTTCGATATAGCAAAAGGCCTGCCTCCACATTGGGCATTCGGGTGCTGGCTGCATGTTGCGTAAGCGCTGCCGCGGTGTAGCTCGCTGGCACTCACGTGCTCACGGGCGAGCAGGAAGGAGCAGGCAGCCATCGCTGAGCTGCGCTGCTGTAAGCTGGGTGTGGCGCAGGGTGGTCCTTGGGTGCAAGTGGCATCTGTATGTTGGGGAACGAGGTTGTGAGTAAGGCGAGAGACATACCTGGTGCTGGAAGCGTGCAACATTGGTCGCTGTATGCTCGTACTTTGGGAAAGCTATTGACGTCATCTTCGACATTGTAGTCTAGGCTAGATAGGATCTGCCATCTGTAGTCTGGGCGCCAAGCGCAAGATAGGATATCAACATCGGTTCTTCATTGATGATGATGATGAGACTTTACCAGCATTGTCAATTATGAGCTCTTAGTGTCTTCTTATTTGGTGAAACTCGTGATGCGATTCCGCTGTTGGTTCGAGGTCCCGACTATCTGGTCTTGTGTATATGATGCTGTTTGATTGCTGAAGTTCGCTATTGCTCATCTTCCTTGCACAGTAGAAGAGAAAAAACAAAAAACACAGACCCAAATCGCCAGCCCAAACCCATATCGCCCGCCCCCAGTTTTCAACGGGAAAAAACTATATCCCTCAAAAGGGAAACAATGGACACACGCCAACAATCATGCACACACACACACACTTACAAACACACAAAAACACAAACACACGCGCATACATTCATATTCATGCCTAAACACACTCTCACGCGTAGGCACACACATACACAGATACACGCACACACAGCACACCTACACACACATAACTGGGGCGGTGGGGGTTGGGGGATGTGGGGGCGGATGGGAGGTGCTTCAGGGGTTGTTGTTTTTTTTTTTTGCTGCCTAGGGCCACATGTTCCGGACCCCGCGCATCAATTCTGTTTTTTCGAAAAGCGCGGGAGCGGCCCATTTTCGTGTTTAACGCGAATTCAACGGGATTTTTTTGAATTTAACGGGATTCAACGGGAGTTTAATTCCCCCGTTCTGCGTTAAAAAGATACACAGGTTATAAGCACTAGGAACTTTGGGCAAATGTTCGTCCCAGTCAATCTGGTCGGGATGTATGTACATATGCAACGTTTGTTGCAGAATCTTGTTCATTTGTTCAGTCTGGCCGTTTGTCTCAGGGTGCCTACCTGACGACATAGTCAACTTAGAGCCATAGACGTTCATTAGTTGTTGCCATTGTTCACTCGTGAATCGTGAATCTCTGTCACTCACAATTGTTGAGGGATGTCCATAATCTTTCACCCAATGGTTAAAAAATTCCCGGATTACTAATTTCGTTTTTGCTTCCGCTGGCAAGGCTACAAATACAACATACTTACTAAATCTGTCAACAATGACCATGACTTGCGTCTTTCCATTCCTGCTTTTCACCTCGGTGTCCATAAAGTCAATGGACACAGAGTCTCCTGGACCTGTTGGGATTGGCAAAGGCTTCAGTAGACCAAGGGAAGGTTGAGTGGTGCTCTTATTTCTTTGGCACACTTGACACCCTTGCACATACGGAATGCAATCGGGTTTCATACGAGGCCAAGTATAAGAACGCAAAAGATTCGCATAAGTCCTTTTCCACCCAAAATGGCCTTCAGTGTCCTGACACTCCCCCAAGATCAGACTTTTGATCTCTTCCACATCTGGAATACAAAGTCTGTCGTGCACATCCATTCTTTCAAACAACAGTCCATGTGTTATACGATAGTTAGGAAACTCTTGTGGCGCTTTTTGTGCACGTTTAATCATAGCGCTATAGACAGGATCTGTGGAATACGCACTTCTAATTTTCTCTTGCAGATCGGTGGTCACGTCTAGGTATGTTACAATGGCATCGAAGAAATCAGATCTTCGATTTAGCGCGTCAGCAACAACGTTATACTTACCCTTGACTGGCTTTAGCTCGAAATCATAATGATCAATCTCAGCGGCCCACGTAGTCAACTTAGGTGTCATCCGGGCGTTTTAAGCCAGCGAAGTGTCTCATGATATGAGTACACCTTGAAGTGGCGTCCTAAGAGATAGTGTCGCAGTGATCTAGAGCTTCTCGGAGAGCATACAACTCTCTCTCATACGTAGAAGCGGCGACCTTCTCGTTAGGCAGTCGTCAGGACATAAACTCTACAGGCCTGTATCCATTCCCATCATCTTGTTGGAGTACAGCGCCTATCCCATACTGACTGGCGTCGGTTGTGACAACAAAGGGCAACGAAGGATCAACAACCTTCAAAACCGGATAGTTAATCAGACATTTCTTTATGCGTTTAAACGAAGCTGCACAGTCTGACTCCCACTTCCAAATCGTTTCTTTCTTAAGCAATCTGCGAAGGGCCGCAACAATTATCGTGAAGTGTCTAACAAACTTCCGATAATAGCTGGCTAGCCCAAGGAACGACCGCAACTCAGTCAAAGCGCGGGGGTTAGGCCAATCTCGAATTGCTGCAATTTTTGTATCCTCCGGTTTGATCCCATCACTATCAAGTACATGCCCTAGGTATAACACTTCACGCTTTGCCCATTCACACTTCTTAGGGTTTAACTTCAACTTTGCCTCACTCAACTTATTTAGCACAAGTCGAAGGTGCTCACAATGCTCATTCAAACTCCTACTAAAAATTAAAATATCATCGAGATATATAACGACAAATTTATCAAGCCATTCGCGGAAAAACTCATTCATTGTTCTTTGGAATGTTGCAGGTGCATTCGTAAGACCAAAGGGCAACGCAATGAACTCATAGTGCCCGCACCTTGTTTGAAAGGCAGTCTTGTGTTGGTCTTCTGGCTCTACCTCAATCTGATGGTAGCCAGACTTCAAATCAATTTTAGTGAAGTACTTGCTACCCTGAACCCTGTCCACCAAGTCATCTATCCTTGGTAATGGCTCAACATTTTTGACTGTTATATCATTAAGTCTTCTGTAATCAATACACATGCGTACCCTGCCATCTTTCTTTGGCACAAATAGCACAGGCGCACCATAGGGCGAGGAGCTAGGTCTTATCCACCCCTTCTCCAACAATTCATTAAGCTGGGTTCGCAGTTCATCTAAATCTTTGGTGACATCCTATAGATAGGCCCCTTAGGAATTTGACTTCCTGGAATAATATCAATGCGATGTTTGATAGGTCTTTCAACTACACCGCTTGGAGCCTCTGCCACATTTGCGAATTCTTTCAGAATCTTTTCAACTTCTGGGGGGTTAGCCTCTTCCTTAACTTCACCCTCTTTAATTGGGCGCACAAATGCAACAAACACTTTATCATACAGATTATACTTCTTAACATGGCTAGCGAACGCGGGGGCACTCATACAACAATGAGCCAAGCTGCTTTCTTTCCCAGATTCATGGTACAAGCAGATTTTCTTTTTCCCACCTTGCGGACTAGGAAGCCAACACTCGTGGTCCCTTAACTTAATGTTCGCATCTGCAGCTTCCCCCCAATCTGTGCGTAGAAGAATGTCAAAAGGGAGACTATCTTCCACCAAAAGAGCCAGAGAGTGGAGAACGCGTTCCACCTTCCCTTATGCCTCGAGCCGAAAGTATGTCTGTACCCCCTCAACATACCTATCCATTACGATCTCACTACTGTTGGCTAACTTACTTACTATGGGCTCGTCCAATTGTTTAACTTGAAGTTCGAGACGCAGCTTCTTTAACCCTTTCTTACTTATATAGTTGTGAGTTGACCCACTATCTATCATTCCTCCAACTCTTACCTTAATTCACTTCTAGATCTGCAATTATCAATTGTCCTTTACGTTTTTTCATCTCAGTCCAGGCTTGGCGACGAGCGGCCAACTCCTCACACATGCCAGCGAGGGATCCACCTAGAGAGGTACACACACTCACTACCTCTGGACAGTTAACTAGGTGGGGACTGACTTCCTCTTCAGTCTCTGCCAGTGGAACCTTCGGATGGGAGGATGTCTTTCTTTTTACATCCGAACTTCCGGTAGAGGCAACTGAAACCTCTACTGGCTGTTCCCTTTTGGTTGTTTATAGTCGGGACAGAAGGGAACGATGTGGTTGGGGTCACCACATTTGAGGCATTGATCAGCAGCGTTTCTGTCCTGCCAAACTTTCTCTGTAATCCCCAATTTCTTCCAAGGCTCCCCTTCGGGCAAACCTGGATGGGGTGGATATGGTTTGTCCCATGTACCATACCATGCGCCTCTTCCTCTTCCCCAGGTAGAATACGAACCACGGCCACCTGGCGAGGGACCATTACCCCTTCCACCCACGTAGTGGCTACCTTTGCCACCACCCCTCTGGGTACCGGGTCCTCTTCCACCACGTCCGCGGCCTCCTCTTCCTCGACCACGTCCTCTTCCTTGTCGCCCTCCCCCGTGGGCTGCAATGGCCGCGTAGTCCCCCTCCTGAACTATCGTGTCGTTGGGTCCTCCCTCCAGACCATAATCTATCTGATCATAAGAGAGAGTTTCGACACCTCCTTCTCCAAAAGTAAGAAGGAGATCGTCTTTCCCAGGTATATTCCCTGAGATGGTGCGGTTTTGCCATTTCTTCCCCGCTTGCAGATCTTTCCAATAATGGCAATAATTAGCCTCGGCTAAGAAGCCAGCATGATCTATAGCGATCTTGTTGAACTTCTCGTATGTCATCCCCTCTTCCTTTGTGCGGGAATATAACTGAGTACAGAGAGGGTCGGGTAGCGCTCTAGCGAAGTTATTGAGGATTTGAGCAGGAGTAAAACCATGTTCAGCGCATTGTAAAAGTTCATCCATCGTTGCCTTCAGTGCAGATGCACTCTTCCATTTTCGATGTGCGATATTTAGAATTAGCATTTCTATTCGGCGAGCTAGATTCTTGTCTTCAAACAGTTCTCTGACAGCTTTGAAGAAGTCTTCAATTCTAGTTTGCTGTGAATATGCAATCATAGTATCGCAGTTAGCTTCCTTTTGCAACGATATGGCGAAGCTCATCGCATCGCCGGCCATGCACGAAGTGGCCATGAGAACTCTATCCAAGTAAGGTATGCGCTGACCGTATACGTATGACTCTACGGCTGCAATCCAATGTAGGACACTCTCCTCTCTCTTGCCGATGTATGTCTACAACACTTTAACTTTTATTTTTCTTACATCAGTGTCTTTATCATCCCGCAACACTCCCTTTCCTTTCTTATCATCTCCCCCGTCTCCGTCTCCATCTCCTCCTCCTCCTGCACCGCTGCCATGGATTATCTTTTCAATTACAGCGGGCGTAAAGGTTTGGGTAATATGATTATCTAATTTCTGAATATACGATTGTATATGTTGATCAACATCTTTGGCGGATTTCTGCAGAAAGGTATTCCAGACTCCTTCAAACTCGTACTGGTGGGTTTCAACCTTTTGCAGAGTTCTGTGTATTGCTTCCAGCTCTTGCTTTGTATGCAGGACTGTCTCTGTCAAGAGGGCTAGTTTTTCTTCTGTTGCAGCCTGTTTTTCTTTTTGATCTTGCAGTTCTTTATGCAACCTCATACCCTCTGCTTGCAGCCTCTTCCTCTCATCAAGCTCCTGCCGCTTTGCTGCTAACATTCTCATATGCAGATCTGCGCGCTTTTCCTCTAACAATAGTTCTTTTTCCCTTTGACCTTTAATAGATGTTAATTTCGCAACGAACAGATCTCTCTCCTCCTCTGTTTCTTCAATTCGATCGCTGGTATAGGCATACTGATCATACCAGTCCAGTGGTTTTACCTTAAGTCCCCCACCTGTTTGGCTGGTCTCCCCCTAGTCTGCGGTTCTTCTTTCAATTCCTTCTCTAACTTTTCTTTCATTTCTTTCTTCATTCTTTTTTCTTCCATTTGCACTTTCTTCTTTATCTCTTCTTCTTTCTGTCATTTTCTTTCTTCTTTTTCTCTTTTCTTTTCTGCCTGTCGGCGATCAATCTCAGCCTGTTCTATAGGCGTGGGCGCTGACTTTGTACTTCCTGATCGCAACATCATACGAGAGGTACATACTCTCCCGAAGCCCAGGGGAAAGAAAACTCTGGACAAGGGGCCCGTCATAACAAAAAGGGCCAGCAAGCCTTGCATAGGGTAGTCATCCATGATGAGACTCAGCACAGGGACCCCTCCGCTGGTCCCACCAGGTAAGACTCCCTGTAGTTATCCTTAGGCTAATCTAACCTGGATGGGATAAAATGATTCTGCTTTGTATATATATATATATATATATATTTGACGATATGAGTCGGTAAAACTCCGACGAAACAGTTTGTCACAGCCCCTCGTTTGTTGTCCTCTTCTCCCTCTCTGCCTACGGTTTACCGGGCAGTTCTATTTGACGATATATTTGACGATATATATATATTCCAGACTCTGGATGTCACTGCTTTAACAATAACGAATTTCATAACTTTCAAAAACTTTTAATATTTAATAAGACTTTTTTTTTTAGTTCCTGTCTGTCTTCAATTTCAAATATCAAACTGATCAGAACAAATACTACACTTGATCCTAGTCAAAAGTCCACCTGGTTTGTTCTAACTGTTGTCTGGCTGTGAATGTTCTCTCTTTCTTTTATCTTTTTTACTAACCCTGTTTGTCTGTCCTCATGCGCAGGGAGGAACTGGAGTGTTTACTATGTCAGATGCCTGGACAATACTTCGATCACAACTTATCTCTGCCCAGTTTGATTATGCCCTATACCCCCTGCTTGCAAACTGACGTGGCTGTCTGCCACAACCCCCCAGCATACTCCTATCTTTACTACAACGCAGATGTCAGACCAGAGAGAAGAAGATAGAGACCAGAGAGAAGAAGATAGAACCAAACAAGGACTCTGACCACTCTTAGCTCTGACGTGACCAGATCCCTTGATCCTTATAGACCAGACTATACCCTAGGTGACTCGACCTGACAGCAGCAGCAGCGACCACCAGAGAGGAAGGGAAAAGGAGATACACCACACACAACTCCACAGGCAGCCAGGTAAGGGGTAGGAGAAGCTTCTCTTCTTTGTAGTCGCCGCTGAAGACTCCACGAATGCTCCAATCGCTCCACGCGTAGGTAACAATTCTCGTCCTTAGCCCCTTCCTCTTCGGCTTACTTCCCCTCATTTATCCCAACCACTGTCTTCCTACACCTCCACCATAGCCAGCATCTTCAAGCCAGCATGTCTTTGTCTTCCTCGCCGGCCTTGCTCATGCCAACGCATCAGCGAGCGCAACGAGTCATGCTCTGATACCAAATTGCAAGGAACCTGATTGTTCACAACTTGCTGGAGTGTTCAATTTGCATGCACATTCGTCATCACACAGATAGGATAGCTTCACACAAAGCCGAAGTCGAGATGAGATAGGAACCAGATAGCGCAGCTCATAGAATCAAATTCACATCATACAAGAGTATCTCGAGTTCAAAAGTTCAGCGCCAACAAAATGCAAGTCTTCCTCCCTCATTCGTCAGCATAGGACCTGGCTCAGCCAGCGTCACCCTTCAGATCTCAAGTATGGCGCAACAAGTAAGTATTCACCATATCCCACTTTGTAATCTGTCATCTCTGTCTCTTTATCTTCTCTCTCAAGATCCCTGTCGTGGTTCCCTTCTCTCACTATACATGCACACTCCTTGTCTATGAGAATCTACTCTGAATGCCTCTCACTAATATCCTACTACTAACCCCACTACTTCTACTATTACTAACTTAGGCTGGCGCAGCTATGGTTTCCTTGCAGCCGGCGCCCAGCTCATCTTCCTTCTGACGCAGCTTTTTCTGCCAACGCTTCTCCCTGCACTATAGCGCACAAGTGCCTCAGCACTTCCACGCATCATCGCCAATGGGAAATCTCCCTTGTGGGGAGGCTGCCTTGTCCTTTATAGTGCTGGCCTCCCCTTGCGAGGTCTGAATTCAGTCTGTCTTGGGTCATTTCCCAGTCCCAGGCCTCTATGGAGTGTGTCCCAGTTCCTTATCCTCAGGGTCCACTGCTGCTGCGACCTTCACGCCTCAATTTCGGACTTCAATATGTAACTAGACTCTCCCTTTGACTTGAATCTTGATTGGGACTTCACCTTTTTGACTTCCTTTGAACAGACACACCTACTGCTTGAACAGACACACATTCTGCACGAACATGTGACGAACCACTTCCCGGCCCCGTGCTATTTTTCGTACCCCTTGATTCAATACCCCCTTTTTTTTGGTATCATGCCGCCCCCACAAAACCCCCATCGCTTCTCTTGATTCCAGGCGCCTTGTTTGGGCCCCCAATTTTTCGGAAGTTCTATTGATTCTTGGAATTCTGCTTTTTGTAATTCGGGAAGAGCACAGGAAATTACGCGCGCCTCAGCAAGCGCACTGGGAATCGGGCTCGACAGTTAGGAATCACGGAATAAGCGGAGCCTGACGTATCTTTTTCCTTGCATGAATGTTCTTGGTCACGTCGGAGAAAACTTTAGGAATTTTGTGAGAATACGGATAAGCATAGGAATTTTTTTTCCCGTGTCGACTTTTGCGCGCGGATATGGCGATTTCAATTTTTGAATTGGTTTTGGGCATAGGCAAGCTGTAATTGTTTTGGTGCCTTTTTCTCTTGT